CACACACACACACACACACACACACACACACACACACACACACACACACAATGCCGTTATGGTTGCAGAAGTACAGTCAGTGAGGTGAGACGTTTAATGAAGCATTTGCTGAGTTGACAGCTTCAGTGGCATTTTAAAATACCAAAATAAATGAGCTAGAAGAAACAAAGGAATGTGTAATGTTCAAATTCTAATTCCATCAGTAACTGTGCGGATGCTGATAAGAGACATTGAACACAAATGGGTCGTAGAAGATGCTGCTTCATAATAATAACAGATTTTAGTACACATTCTTAGAATATGAGCAGAAAATGTAAACGCCTACAAACCTCTGCTACGAGGTCTGGTCATATTACAGTTTAAATGCCAATCAGCACCATTTGGGCCAAAAGCACTTTTAAACGGAACATGAGACAACTAATAGTGCTCCAAACAAGCTGAATAATTAAGAATATTAACATCATGGCTAAGAGTTGACAGCTACACGAGCAGCTCTGTCAGACTTTACTTATAGGCACTGCAGTGCCTTTGAGCTGCTGCTAACATCAGCATGTTCCAGCAATATGCTTAAAAATACATAGTATTTGGTTCTTTAACAATTCATCCTCATAGTGGCACTAAAGAAAAAGTCATGATAAGCAATTAGTCATTAAGAGTCATCCTTTGGGGACCACAAATGTCTGCAAAAATTCACAACATTCCATTCATCATTTGTTAAGATATTTCCTGATTCTAGCATGGCTTATTACCAACATTAAGTAAAACATAAAGAGGAATTAATCTCTACATCACATATACCAAACATAGACAGCGTAGAGGAACTGGTGTCATATTTCTAAGCTAGCTAGTGATGATATAACATCAGTGTAGGGGCAGTTAAAACTTCAGTCCAACATGCACCCTAATGACTGTGTCTGTCAATTTCCTGTTGTTTTCATGGCACTAGTAGAGTCACAGTTTTCACTCAGTTAATAACTTCCTGAAGAACCTGCTTCGCTCTTCAACCCTCTGAGTTTAGGAAAATACCAGGTCCCTTCAAGCATTAACTTGTGAGTTACACAGAAACCTGTAGGGACAGTTGCCATAGAAACCTTGCTCATTATAATGAGAAAGTCAAGTATGCAGGCAGCATCGAGTACGCATCAAGTCTTTTAACCATAACCAAAAGTGTTTATTGCATTTGTACTTGGGAACCAGCCGGAGATGCTTCAGGACAAAGTTTGCCAGTGGGGGAGATCGTTCCAGAGGCAGCTGGAACAAGTGGGAGGCGATGATCAATTGAATTTGTGTGTGAAGTTATTCTGTAACTGAAAGATATTTTGAGGAGAGGCCAAAGAGTCTTAACCTCACCAGTGGATCTATAGTGACAGAAGCTCCAGGTGAGTGATGAGAAGGCAATGAAAAGGTGAAATTATTTATCAATTAACACAAAACTTGAAGGACGGATCTCACTTGCACTGCACAAGTACTTTAGCGTGAGCCAGAGAGAAGAACAATGGGCTCTACAGGCTCCAGACCCAGGTTGCATAAAGTGGCTCCATGTGATATTCCACAAGAAGAACAGGGGCCGCTCAAACCCCAATGGACCCTCCCTTGTCTTCCGGTCACCCTGGAGCAGCCATTGGGATCTTTGGGACGGAGTAAGACAAATTTACCTCCACTGAAGCAGGAAATAACTCTTTCCTCACCTTCAGGTTAGTGGATTTTAATTTTATTTTCAAAATCACTTTGTGTTGAGATATGAGCTAACACTATATGCATGTCTGTGCTGTAAGACCCATGCTTTGCAGGAAGCCTCACACAAAGGCAAAGCAGCAATTCCAGCATCTGCCTCAAAGAACCTAGTATTGTATATAATATAGTATCATATAGTTAACTATAACTGGTTATTCCTGATTCATATCAGAAGTTTCTCATCTGTTCAACCCTGTCCTGGGACCCTGGCATAAATAGTTTTGCATTTTTTCTTCTGACTGGTTGTGATTTTCACCCAGACATCCCATCATTATCTCTCCTCAGGCACAGCAACCACTGGCTCCTCAAATTGGCCATACAAGCACTGCCAGTCAAATTGCTATGGTAATAGAAAAAGAGAGGAGAACTATCCCTGCTGAATGCCCCAACGTCCCTAACCTCATGCTATTTTTAAACCCAATAAGGAATTGTGATGTTTGTTGTAGGGCAGGGACTACAGAGATGGGGGTGTCCGCTGGTTTTCTATAACCGGCCAGACAGGACGCGCCGGCACCAGCAGAATGATTCAGGTAAAGCATCATGACAAAGTATGGAAGCGCTGAAGTGCATCTATAGCATTAATAATTTAGATCATACATTTTTATACTGAAGGAGAATTAAAGTGTGCAGCAGTGCTTAAGACAGAGAGAGAGAAGGGGGGGGG